GGGAGCCTGCTTCTCCCTCTCCCACTCCCCCTGCTTGTGTTCCCTCTCTCGCTGTGTCTCTCTCTGTCAAATAGATAAATAAAATCTTTAAAAAAAAAAAGAGTAAACAGAAATGGAAATAATTCCAGGTGAGGGGTCAGAAAGAAACTACTTGGATGGTGATTATATTGAGATATCTTCATTTCACTCTTCCTCTGTTATTTTAGAAGACCACCGGTCAAAATGGAATAGAAAAGTACTACAATTCCTTACTGAGTATAACTAATTTAATAGGAACATAGTCTATTTTCTACTTAGACACTAAGCTGAGTCTTTTAAAACATACACGTCTTCTCAAAGCCCACCACAGATGAAGTCAAATTCAAGGCCCAGCCATGGCCAACAAGGCTTGGTGCAGTCGGGCTCTGGCCAAGTCTCTGACCTCTGCTCATGTCACATCCCCATGTTTCACCTTGTGCTATCCATGCGGGCCTCCTGCTTTCCTCAAACAGATTGGCCTCAGGGCCTTTGCACTTGTAATTTCCTCTCCGGCACAGTTTTCCCCCAGACATTCTTGTGGGCCTCTCTCACTGCACTTCTGTCTCTGCTATAACACAGCACGTCAGCAAGGCCCACTGTGAGCTGCTCATCTAAAGCATCACCCAAGCTCCCTGCACACACACACATGCACACACACTCATGCACCCTTATCCACACCTTCACATACTCGCTCTCTCATATACACGTACACATTCATATCCTTGTGCACATCCACACACCTGCTTCCACACATTCTCATATGCACATACTCACCACTCCCTCTCTCACACACACCCACACTTGCACACACTTCACACACACTCCTGCACATGCACACTTGCACCCACACTCTCACCCACTCACACATATGCTCACTCATATTCACACACTCACCCTCACACACTCTCATGCACACGCGTGTACTCATTCACAGTGTGGGCACTTTTTATCCTCTTTCTGGCTTCTACTTTTCTTAATAACCCTTTTACTAACTGACATTTATTTATTTTACTTATTTTTTTGTTGTCTGTCTTCCCCTGTTGGAAATGAAGCTCCATGAGGCCAGGGTCCTTACCCTTTTTGTAATCAGCACTGTATCTCCAGTGCCTTAAATAGCATCAAACGCATAGTAAGGGCTTAATTAACTTTTTTTGAATAAATGTATACATTTAAGTCATCAAAAAAAAAAAATGCTTTCTACATCCACCACTGCATGCAACTCAGTATACTTTCATCCGAAAATCCATGGAGGGAAAAGTCAGAAAGGCATGGAAAAGTCAGAAAGGCATGGAAAAGTCAGAAAGGCATAAAGCCTGCACCTTCTAATATAGAACAGCTGTACTGATCCTGGGTTCTTCAAACCGTGACGAACCCCATCTGTCCAGTGGCATGAAAAAGTCTCTAGTTCAGGTGAACGGCACTTGGTGAACTTAGGCTTCCCAGAAGAATCTGCAGAATAAACAGAAAAGGCAAAGCATGAAATCAGGAAGGTCAGGTATGGTCCTAATAAAACTCATATGTAAAGTGGTAAAGAAGAACCATTTCCTCCAGAGACACTGTTTTCCTGGGTCACAGTTTAGGAGCTCGTTGTAATGCCAGTTATTTCTCTGTCAGCCCTCGATTCCAGGGACAAACTGTTCTGTCTTCGTGTCAAACATTATTTTTAGGGCCTGTTTAAGAAACCAGAACTAGAGGTAGGGTTTATTTGGAAGGTGACCCCAGGAACAGGAAGTGAGGGGCCAGGGAGAGTGGAAAGGGGAGGGAGGACAGCTAACAACGTGTGTCATCCAGTGGGTTCCCACGGTGGCCAGCCAGGGCCCCACCTCCACAGAGGCCTCTCGGAGAAGCTGTAGAGCATGGAGTGTGTCCTAGAGAAGGAGGGGAGGCTGCGGTGTATATCCCCCAACCCCCGCTCTCCACTGCTTGAGGGCTGCCCTGGAGGTGTTCATGCCCATGAACTTCTAGGGCACACCCGCACAAGGGCTGAAGATCCTGCCTGGCTTGACAGAAGCCTGGACAGGCTCCCGAAGTGGACGTGGCAATGTGCACGATGGCGGCCGTGCACCACAGATGCATGCACTCGCATCAGGTGGGACAAAGGGACGTGGCCTGGGACCGCAGCATCCACTACAGGGCATTTCCTCTTTTTATAGATTTTTTTTTTTTTATAAAAAGCCACTTAGGTCTGCATTCTTTAAAAAGAATTCATTAGGTACATTCATTAGGTAGATGATGACTGTACATTCATTAGGTAGATGATGACCAAAAAACTTCTGCATACTTATGTGTCAACTCAAATTTGAGAAGTGGTGATTGCCTCCTATGTGTTAGGATATTAGCCCAAACGCCTCTGCATCTATGAAATCTGCAGCAGACAAGTCTGAGGCAAAACTCATTTTTTGTATATCAATTCTCATTGTTCTCTGAGTTCCATGGCCATTTTGGAGATGGCCAAGTTTCTTTTTTTTCCCTCCTCATATGATTAGTCTTCCATTAGATTTGAAACTTAATATATTTGTTCTCTGATCTAAAGCTCTCATCCCTGGGCAATAGGGAGTCTCTCAATTTTAAAGGAGTCTTATGAATACTTTAAAACATAATTTAGAAATAAACAGCATGCAACCAAACACATAAAAATCCCTGATTCTAAGTTCCAGGTTCATGTCTGCTGTTCTGAACCAAAACATGCCTCTTTTTCCCTTTGTCAGCAAAATCATAATGAATGGGATACTATAAACCTTCTAAATGAATCCATCATTCAGCCATCCATTCAACAAATACGAAACATCTATCTTGTGCCAGGCCCTCTTCCAAGAGTAGAGCAGGAAACAAAACTGCTAACATTCTGGTCCTTGTGGGGTTTCCCTTTCAGTGGGGGCTGGGGAGGGGGGAATCCCACGTAGAAAGATGAGCAGGGTAAGAAGGTAAGGGGCTGGGAAATGGAGACCCCATCCTCCTTCCACTGATACCCATATGAATGCAGCGAAGAAGCTCAGGCTGGGGAAATGTGTCCTCATTTTAGAACATCTGCTGCCCCAAAGAGTCTGGCCACAAGAAAATGAATCTTCAGGAAATCCTGAGTTGCAGATAGGTCCTTTGCCCTGAGAACACATGTTGGGGGTGGTAGAATGTCTTTCTTAATGAAATTCCATGGTCATATGGTTGTAAGAGATATTCCTTTTCCTGTATTAACTAAGCGATTGACAAGAGTTTCAGGGCATGGATAGGATCTGCTTGGTACCAAGGGCAGATGCTCAGCCCCCTCTAGGTGGTCAGCACCTACGAACCTCTCTGAGAGCACTGAAATGTAGGGGCCTGTATGATCTGCTACAAATGAATATAGTGAAAGAGGTGTGTGTTTTGTTAAGTAAGCACCTACTATACAGTAGAGTACCTGGAAATATTTCTTTTTCTATTAGCTGAAGAACTGAAAAGGTTATTTGCAGATCCTCCCAGAAAATAAGTGATTAATAAAACATATTTAAGCCACAACTATTTTTAATGCTTGCAGGTTTGAGGAGAGTATTGCAGATTCTGCCTACTCCTCTGCATAGAAGTTTAAGAAGAGGAAATGCGCTGGGTTACAAATTCAGAGATTTGTGTTTGAGTTATGGCTCTGATACTCTTCAGCCCTGATCTTCCCAAGCCGTTTGCGCCTCAGTCTCCTCAATAGAGAGGCTGGAAGAGATGAGATTCAAGCTACTTTACAACTTCACGTTTACAATAAATGATGTATATCATCATTAATAATAATGTACACAATGAAAACATAATTTTGGCCTTTAAGCCGAAACAACCAGAGAACACCAAAAGCAAACACCATTCAGGTTCTCATATTCTCTGTGCAACAAGCCTACCACACAATGGCAAGAATAGTAAAACCCAACCCAAAAACTTGAGACAGAAAAGGAAAAAAAAAATTTTGCTAGCTGGGGGAAAAAAAAATTAATTTGAAACACATTTTTCTTGCTTAAACTTAGTATGCCTGTTTATTCTGTTACGTTTTAACTCCCGATGTACAGAAAGCCCCCTATTATCTCCTCATTCTAAATAAGAAATGGGAAATTCATGGTTCATAGTTGTGGTGCTAATGTGATGAAGTGTGTGCCCATACAGGAACTCTGATACAGACGTAGTGCAGCCAAGCTATTTTTAATTTGTCTTTTTTGATTGTATTTTTCACTGCGTACCCTCCTTTCCCTACCTTCCTCCTTTCTTTCTCTTTCCTTGCACTCTCTTCTCCTTCCTTCCTTCTTCCTTTCACGTCTGGGTATGTGCTGTTAAGTGCTGTAGCAGACAGACTCTTCAGGTGGCCCCAATGATCCCTGTTTCCTGTTGTTTGTAAGATTTTGTATATCATCTCCTTGAATAATTTGCTAATGTAATCTAATCTAACCTACAGAATATGGTAGATTTGAGGGGATGTCATATCTGTGATTAGGCTACAAAGACTGTGACTTCCGTCTTGCCAGCAGATTCTCATTCTTGTTGGTTTTGGTGAAGCAAGCTGCCGTGTTGGTGGAAACCACATGATTAAGGACTGAGAGTGGCCTCTGACCAATAACTAGCAAGTCTAACAACCCTTGAAGAATGGAATCCTGCCAACAACCATGGAATTTGATCCTTCCCCAGTCCAGCCTTCAGGTGAGACCACAGCCCTGGCTGACACTTTGATTACAGCCTTGTGAGAGAGTGTGAAGCAGAGGTCCCAGAAGCTGGGTTAATTCAGAGGAAGGGCAGGGAATAATATTAACTGAATGCTGTTTATACAGAACAAATGAATCCAATATATCAGAACTTGAAAGCGGTGTTCAACAATGGCATAAGCCACTTTTCTTAGCAAATGGAATGTGTCACAATGAGAGTGGGAAAGTACATAACTTCTTTGTTGGAGGCAAGAAGAACTGCAGTGTAGCTGGCTGCTTAGCTCCTTCTCAGTCACCTCCTGCTTCAGCTATTACGACTGTGGCTGAAGATAGCTGGCATTCCTAAAGTTCGCCTCCTTAGCATCTTGTTGAGGTTTCCCAAGTCTGAGAGGTACTGGCCTTAAAATGAGGACCTCTCTAATTATGTCTGAATATCCTAGTAGAAGCTTGTTTTATATTTCACTTAAAGACAACAAATGGCTACCATACATTCTCAGGTCCTCTCTGATGAGCCACAAACAATAATTTTTGAACTAGTAATAATTCCTGCTCTCTCATGATTTTTAGCGTAAACCTAGAGACAGTATAGTTCAATATCCATTTACAGCAAGTCTAAAAAGAAAGCCACACTTGACAAGAGAGCCTCGCTTTGGCCCTAAATTAATTCTCACTAGGAGAAATGAGTGTTCTAACTCAAGTGGTCCCACATTCTGAAAAAATGTTAATATCAACACCGATCAGCACTCAAAATCATGACAATAGATTTGGGATTCATTTTTATTTTCTCTTTGGAGTCTTCATTTTGAAAATGAGGATTTTGACTTGCAACTACATATTTATTTTAGTTATTAATACCATGTTATATACCTCACCTTCCATATTATATCATGTTGAATACTTTACATATATTGTCTCCTTAATACTGACAATAATTCCAGAAGGCGGGCATTATGTCCACTTAGAAATGGGTGAAAAACTGGAGTTGAGAGAAGTGAGTGGTGTTTATACTGCAGTAGGTAGGAGAGATGGGATTAAAATACAGGTCCATGTGATTTCAAGCCTAATTTCAGCACTGGCAAAAAATAGTAGCTTTTGTGTTAGGCAATTTTCTCTTGCTTCTCAAAAAATTCCCAGAAGGGAAAAATGACAAGCTCAGATGTGCCCTTAATTCAATTCTCAGAAATGAGTAAGCTGACAAGCCCTAAGAGCAGCATTTCCTAATTGTAATTGCACATTGGAATCAACAGGGGAGCTTTAAAAGACACTGATGCCTTGGCCTGCTGCCAGAGACTTGAGTCAATTTGTCTGGGGTGCAGCCTGGGTGTCATGATTTTTAGAAGTTCCCCAGGTGCTTGCAATGTGTGGCACAGGTTGAGAGCCACTGGTGTAGAGAAATAAATTATAGGTAAGTACTGAAAAGTTGGCTTTCCACATTATTAGCTTGTCTGATCAGTTCTAGCAGAGCTTTGTATCAAGAGTGACACTTGGGGGCGCCTGGGTGGCTCAGTTGGTTAAGCGACTGCCTTCGGCTCAGGTCATGATCCTGGAGTCCCGGGATCGAGTCCCATATCGGGCTCCT